GTCACACTAACTAGCTTCGTGGGCTTCGAGCGCTGCACAAAGGAAGATTCTACTCCTTCGTTCGTCCAAACGAGACCACGCAAAGCTCTAGGTTCAGTTTCCATTTTCACAGCTGCTGTTAAAATGCAGAATGATGTTGGTACTTTCTGAGGGTCTGGCACAGGAAGTGAATATAAATATATAATAGTGGAATATAAAAGTGGACAGAACTGAAAAGTCTGGAGGTGGTTTGACAAGATGGATTGACGCTATTTTACGGACATCAGCTAACACGCTAACAACAGCTAACAAGCTAACACCAGCTAACACGTCATACCCGCAACTCAGAAGCCTCAACTCTATGTCCCAGCTCCAGATGTTGAGTTTGAGAGAAATGGTGAGTGTCTTCAATCAAATGCAAACATGTAGTGTTATGGTCTTATACTGAACGTGTGTCTGTGGTTCTAAAGTCTTATTCTGAACGTGTGTCTGTGGTTCTAAAGTCTTATTCTGAACATGTGTCTGTGGTTCTAAAGTCTTATTCTGAACATGTGTCTGTGGTTTTAAAGTCTAAAACATGATGGTATGTGTCATATCTATCTTTTACTAAACGTTGTTAGAGTGAAACATGAATTCATGGTTCAATGACAGTTTTCTGCTGAATACTGGGTTGAAACTCGTAAAATTGGTTTTAGTTGGAGCTTGATAGAACTAATTTCATGGAACTGGCGCTGGTGTCTTCTCTGTTTGTTTGGATCGTCGCCTTCTCTGAATAAGTCAAAGATCGTAGGGACTGCTGTTTACACTCTTCTTTTTGTTACTTTCATTGCTGCATCCCAGGGCCGTACAAAATACACCCATTTTAATGTGTTTATTTGTGTCAAAGCGGCAGCAGGAGCAATGCCATAAACAGTAAAGCGGGAGCTGCGACCCCTACAAGTACGTCATCATTTTTCTGGCCAATCAGAGGCGTTGATATTAAAAGGTTATTTTACTGATTTATTACTTATCTATAACACAAAAACACATTGCAAAGGTTGGAAATACATGCTTTTAATGTGTTTTATCAGAAAAAAAAAAAGTTTTTAATAACGTTAGTGCCCTTTTAATAGCCTGGAAACATCTGCGCAGCGTCTCAGTATAAACAGGGCCTGAGAGAGCCGATGGAGTCGTTGATGCGCTGGTAATTGGCTCCTTTATTGCTAGAGGTGTTAAGATCCCAGGAGCCACTGTTCGGTGCTTCCCTGGGGCCAGGCTTGGTGATATTGAAGGGAATCTGGGACTCATGATGACCCACAAGCAGCGTTTTCCGTTGATATTCACGCAGGTGGTAATGACGTTCGGTGGAAACAGTCCGAGGTGTTGAAGCTGCAAGTCGCCGCCGTGTGCAAGCTGGCTAGCACAATGGCCGACACTGTCATCTTCTCTGGGCCCCTACTTAGCACTAGCAGTGCAGAAGCATTCGCAGACACTCAGCTTTCAACCGCTGGCTGTCTGGCTGGTGCCCTCGAAGTGGTGTTGTTCATGTTGACAATTGGAGTGCCTTTTGGGGAAAGCCCGCTCTCATCCGCTCGGATGATATCCACCCAACGTTGGCGGGTACATCCCTTTTGGCTAAGAATTTGGCCCTGGCTCTAAATTGTTCTGCCCGGTTCAAATGACGGTGCAGAACTGAGGCCCGGGTGCAGAGCTGCTCTGCCACAACCTCTGAGCCCCCATCTGTTCAGTTACTAGCCTCAGAACCTAGTCAGATTGAAACTGTGTGTGTTCCTCGCTTGAAGTCTAAAGCACTATATGCGAGGAAATCTGACCTGGGTGTCAGACACAGTAACTTAATAAAAGTTCAGATAGACAGAAATAGTTCTAAAAGCAGGGTTGTTAAATGTGGATTAATGAACGTCAGATCAATCTAGTATACTATAGACAAAAACTTGGATTTATTTGCGCTCTCGGAGACTTGGCTCCAACAGGACGACTACGTTAGATTGAATGAGTGCACTCCTCCGACGCATGTTAACTACCAGAAAGCGAGAACTACAGGTTGCGGTGGCGGCGTTTATATCACACACCAACTTACTTCTTAGTCCCGAAACCAACAATGCTATTTACACGTTTGAAAACGTAACACTTTCACCTGTCCTGGGTGGAGAAAACAAAAAGCGGTGTTATTTATAGTTTTATACCGACCTCCTGGTCCTTACAGCGAGTTCCTAACAGAATTCTCTGACTTCATTTCAAACCTAGTTTTGGAATGGGAAACATAGTTATAACTGGAGACTTCAATATACATGTGGACGACAGCACTGACAGCTTAAACAAAGCTTTTAGCGCCGTACTAGATGGTGTTGGTTTTACTCAGAATGTTGAGGAACCTACTCACATTCATAACCACACCTTGGACCTTGTCCTGACCTACGGCTGTGATGTCTCCAATGTTGACATCCAGCGTCAAAGCTCGTTGCTGTCTGACCATTTCTTGATCACGTTTGATCTCGATTTGGAGGACTTTCTTGCGCCGCAAGTTAAACCATAATGAAAAGAACCTTCAATGATAAATCTATCACAAGGTTCAAAGAACTAATACAGCCTATGTTGAATACTGCTGCAGGTGAACCTGTTCACAGCAGCTGCAGTCCCTCAGTCATTGACCAAACGGTGGACAACACTATAGCCTAGTGCAGTGTCTCCCAAAGTGGGGTCCGCGGCCCCCTGGTGGGCCGCGAGGGTACTGCAAGGGGGCCGCGGGAGGTCATAAAAAAAACAAAAAAAATAAAAAATAAAAAAACATTATGTTAAATTTATAATGTTTTGTTTGTAATATTAAAATATGTGTTCATTATTTGACTTGAATAATCCACTGTAATCATTTTTGTATTACAATGTTTGTAGCAGAGGCTATTTCCCCAAAATAAAATAACCAGAAGAGCCTATTCTTAATGTTGTCTTCTTGGTTATTATTTTGGGGGGCCACGCAGACCCGTCAGATTTTTAAGGGGGCCTCGGTGTTACTGAGTTTGGGGATGGCTGGCCTAGTGTATACTTGCGCGGCGTGGCTTACGTTAGCGGTTGCGGTGGACCTACGTAAGCACAATTGATGTTATACTGGCGCGTTCCCCTTACGGAGTTTTGAGGAGAATGTTGTAATCCCACAACAAAACCACATGAGGGCGATCACACAGGAGCGGTCCCATTTACGCTGCTACTTTGTCCTCTTCAGAACAACAATAGCAAACAAAGCTGTTTGAGCTCATTACACGTGTTTCTACTGTAGGTTTATGTGATAGTTTTATGGATTCATTATTTTATAAGTCATTTCAACTGTGATGCTGTGAATAAAGACAGTTCTTGTTGGAAACGTAGTTATTATTAAATTGTTTTCAGCACAAACAGCAAAACAATAATAGTGGTAAATATCTGAGACAAACATGAACGATTTACGAGTGCAGGAAGAAAGCAACAAACGCAGCTACGATTAAAACAAAGACAGGAACAGTGCAAAACAAACGACTGCACAGTTTATAAGTTATATATATGTTAGATCAGGGGTGCTCAATACGTTGATCGCGATCTACCAGTCGATCGCAAAGGTAGTATTGGTAGATCGCATTAAATAAATAAAAAATTACACATTCTAAACGAATATATACAAAAAACTCCGGGCAAAGTGGAGATTTTTGAAAACTCCGTTAATGCATTTGTGTGTAGACAGAGATAACCGGAGTTTTGCGTTCTCGCACGCCACAGTACCCCCCTGAATTCCTCTGATCACTGAAGCATGGATCATACTACCTTAAAAACTGTTCGCAGTGAGATGCTCGCAGCAGCAAACATCCTCGCAGTGTTGCCAACTTAGCGAGATTGGCAACACTGATTTAGCGACTTTTCAGACCATATAGCGACTTTTTTTCAAAAAAGCGACTAGCAACAGATCTAGACAAAGCATTAAAATCATTAAATGTTGTTAATGTTTAAATTATTTTTGTACATTTGTAGTTCTACACATATTTAGGGTGTTTTTTACTCACTTTTGTCTCTCCCACGACGTTATTCCTCTCTCCTACAGCGTCCGTTACAGTTATTTGCAAATTGCCAATTATGCAAATTAGGCTATGACGTCATTTTGCGACTTCTAGCGACTTTTGGGACAGCCAATAGCTACTTTCCTTACTGAGGAGTTGGCAACACTGCATCCTCGCTCCACATCAGCGAGCAGCAAAGTGATCGCAGGGACTCACGCTCGAAAACAACCAAACCAGGACTAAACCAGGGCTGAGGACGGGGTCAGTGCTTGTAAACATACGTCTTTACCCTGAGTGTCTTCTATGACTGTAAAAGTGCCGTTACCGGCGTCTGCATCAAAGCTCCGCCCACTTCCGTGTTTTTCCCCAACGCAGGACAGGACGTAAGAGACGCACATGTTTGGAATGTTACGAATGTGACTGATAACGCAGATGTGTGGATGTAAATTATTTTATAAACTGAGGAGGGGAAATATTTGGATTTTAAAAAAAACAGGCATGGCACATGGACATGGCACCACAGTCAAATGACATCTGTGTTTTACTCAGTAAAGTTTTACTGACACTTAGGTGACTGCATATGCGCAAACAACCGCGCTCAGTGCAGGAAAGCTAAACCACGACAAACTTGTCAGCGAGTTACCACCAATTTTCCGGACTATGCATCCCTGGCCGATTCAATTCAGTGCAAGTCATAAGAGTAAACTCGGGTAATGACAAAAAATGTACATACACTGAAAGAACGGGACAGGTGGGGTTGTTCAATTTACACATTTTAAGCTGGTTTAAATAACATGAACAATTTCTGTTTCTCTTAAAAACATAAGAAAATCTTGAAGATCACACTTAATTTTTAGCGTTGTTACATCAACATATCTTAATCATGTTGATGCCAAATGAAAATGTAACATTTTGTCCTTGCCCCTGAATTTGTGACCCGTGAAACCCCGTGCATCGAGAAGCATTCCTCGTGGGGATTTTGAGTCCACCATTTTACAACCAATGCTACATGAACCTGCATCAGGAGGACACCCGCATAAGGTAAATTCAATTTTCTCTTACAAATTAACGATAGGAAGTGGTAGACATCGCCTCAACATGGTTGTTTTCACGAAGCAGAGCTTTTTAATCTGCTATTATTATCAAGCAACTGCAAGCTCCATCCACCTGCTGCCCTCGGCGGTGGGGCGGAGGTGCCCGTGGTTGCTAATGCTAATGCTGCCCTCCTCTCGCTTCCTTTGGGTGCACGGATCGCCTCAGTGCGTCGCGAACGGGTTCGGGTCCGATTGGAAGGGTTTTGGAGAAACATATCAGTTTTTGCTCCTTTTGTTGTTTTTTTCTAGGCGGAATTTCATTTTTTCAACAATACACCACTGCTAGTCTTGCCCCCAATTTGTTTCTTCCTAATTTTCACATCCAGATATTCCCAAGGCCCAACTATGGTACGGGTTCCCGGGACGACCCCGGGGGTACGCAAAGAAATGTTGGAGAAAAATAAATGTTTATCACAATCTGATCGATATTGACCCGTTAAAACCGCCGCACGGGAAACGTGCTTATACAGGCGAAAGAGTCTTATAATTCAGACGTGGATGAGTTTGTTCTGGACCTAAATGTGTCCACTTCAGAACCGGACCTCAAGAGCCGCTTTGGACCGGAGTGCGTAAAACTCTGCGCGCGCGGAGGCCGGGAGCGCGGCTGATGCGTCAGCTCTCGCTACAACAGCAGTGCCTTTAACGTGAACCGTGCCAGAGTTTGATCGAGCAGCAATTTCTGTAATATCTGTCATAACGAGAGAGGAGCCTGTGCGCCCTCAGACTGATGGAGACTTCGACTTCAACAGGAGGTTTCCTCTCATTCTGATCCGAGGAGCGAGGGGAGAAGCGTCTGTGGCCCCTCCTCTGCCGCTAAACCCGTGGCTTTGTATCTGACACGTTTACATTTACGAGCTGATGTGCGGTGGTACGTGCAAAGATGGTTATGCCCTGCGTATACATTATCTTCGCTTTAACAAAGGCTTAAACCAGCGCATTGGAGTCTGTCCCGGTGGTGACAGGACGACTGAAGGAGACGCAGAGGGGGCGGGGCCAGAGCGCGGGGTCTGATGTTCAGAATGAGCTGGTCACTGGGACAAAACAAAACACTCAGCGTTACCCATTCTCACTAACAGCCTTGTTTCCAAAATAATAAACTGGCATTTTCATAAATATTTTTGTGTTTACATTATTCTTTAATGCCCAGACGAGGCTAAAAAAAAGTGGAATGTGGAAAACCTGCTTGAGTTCACTGTAATAATGGAGGAAAAAAACATAATATTACATGTGATATTCCCAGTGTTTTCAATCGCGTCACAGTAGGGGGTACGTGACTCTTCACCTAAAGCTTCAGGGGGTACACGGCTCCAAAACGTTTGGGAACCACTGAAATAGTATGAACATGCTATTTTCAGGGAAATAGCCCATTGAGTGCAAGAGGTTTACATTACCATTACATTAAAAACATTACGATTCTGTTGACCCATACCTTAAACATTTATCTGTGAGCTAACTAACACATGGTTAAGAATCATATTTGTTCTGAGTTTTCATGTAAATTCTTAATCGCTTTTTTGTTGTGTTCTCCAGACTGCTGCCTTTCCTGTCGGTATCAGCCAGTGCAAGGGTTTATTCAAAGACTCAGTAGTAGGGGTGAGTAATGTATTCTACACGTTTTACGCAAACTTCACAAAATACACTCATGTACCCATGACTTGACACTCACCCAAACACTGACACACACACTGATTACATTCAATCACATGTTTTATATTTGTCTCTCTTTTTTCTTTCTTTTGTTTCTTATGCAGTATGTGGCAGTGTAAAGCTTGTTCTGAATCAACTGCAAGTAGGAACGAACTTCTTTCTTACTATAAACTTAAACATCTACACTTTGGACGCACCACCTGTTACCCCTGTGTGTATTTAAGCTGCCCATGCTCATTCAAAACCTGGAATGCCTTAATTATTCACCACAGTAGGGTTCATTCCACTCGCACAGCTCAAAGACCGACAGAGCATACTGTATTTTCCTGTCACATATGCAGCTGTAAGGCTTTATCAACAGAAAGAGATTTCTTTAGTCATATTACCACACATCTTAGGCGGAATGAGAATGTTCCTTGTCCGTTTTTAGACTGTTCATTTCAAAGTAATATTTACGGCACATTTAAAAGTCACAAAAGCCGTAAACATGCACCCTATACCTATGCTGATTTAAAGCCGGGAATAGTCAGAACCACAAGACTAGCAACTCAAACAGATGAACAGTCTTCAGATCAAGAGGAAGAGGATGATGGAGAGGTTTCTTCTGTATCCTCTTTGCCAGATTTAAACACACAGCCCAAAGAACTCTCTGGTTTAATAGAACAACAACTTGGAGCTGCTCTATTAAAATTAGAATATTTAGTCCATGTCCCTGGAACAGCCATTGATGAGTTTTTACAAGAGCTACACCATTTACTCAGCTCTCCAACTTGCACAGTATCTAAAAGTTTGGTCGGTGCCATACTTCAGAGCAACAGCATCCAAGTAAACGAATCTATTATTGCAGATATTGCCATTGCAGTTTGCTCAGCTACCCCTGTACACAAGGCTATTGAAAAGGGTGGACCTTTAAGTACATCATATCAACGCAGATGTTATTATAACCAAAAATTTGGAGTTGTCGAACCAGTTACACATGTTTTGAATGCAAAAGAGAAGCACACATTTCAGTATGTGCCAATTTTGAAGTCTCTTCAGCAAATTTTAAAGAGCCAAAATATAGTAGAGGAGGTTATAAAAAATCATCGTGGAGCACAGCATGCACAACCTGATGAGTTTTACGAGTACAAGGCCCCCCAAGATGGTTCTCATTTTAAAAAGAACAGCTTTTTGAATAATGGTGAGTTAAGAATATCTCTACGCCTTTATGTTGATGACTTCGAGACATGTAACCCTCTTGGCACCTCAAGGAGGAAGCACAAGCTGTGTGCAGTATATTGGATGTTAGGTAACCTACCACCTGGATCTCACTCATCATTATCATCTATCTACTTGGCGCTACTTGCCAAAACTGATCATATCAAAACATATGGCTATGAAAAGACATTCAAGCCTCTCTTGCAGGACCTTAAAGTCTTAGAGGATCAAGGAGTGTACATCCCACTGTTGGGAAAATCTTTGAAAGGTACAGTTCAGACTGTAGCAGCAGACAACCTGGGAGCTCACAGCCTAGCTGGATTTCAGGAAAGCTTTTCTGGAGACTACTACTGCCGCCAATGCACAGCAAAAAGTTGTGATGTTCAACAACATTGTGTTTCATCAGGTGTGTTTGACCCAAGAAGAAAGGATCTGCATGAATCTCATGTAAAGTCTGCACAGGAGACAGGAAAAAGTGTTTTTGGAGTTAAAAGAGGGTGTATCTTAACAGAACATTTGAGTTTTTTTCATGTAGTTGGTGGCTACCCACCGGATCTGGCTCATGACCTTCTTGAAGGAATTGTACCAGTAGAGCTTGCTCACTGCCTTGCACACTTTATATCTCAGAGTTTCTTCAGCTTGGATGATCTTAACACAGCCATACGAACCTTTCCTTTTAAATGGACGGACAAAACAAACAAGCCAAATCCAGTACCAAGAAGCTTTGAAAGTCATAAATCCATCGGTGGAAATGCTCATGAAAACTGGGCTTTGTTGAGGCTGCTTCCATTTCTCATAGGGCATTGTGTACCTGAGAGTGAGCCAGCCTGGCTTGTGCTCATGGATTTGAAAGAAATTGTCGAACTCGTTGTCGCACCCATACATACTGATCAGTCCATTGCGTACCTTGAAAGTAAAATCGTTGAGCATAGACAACGATATCAAGAGCAGTTCCCTGGCATAAAACTTCGTCCAAAGCACCACTACGTGGAACATTACCCCCTCATGATCCGTGCTTTTGGTCCTCTTGTCTGTCATTGGACCATGCGCTTCGAAGCAAAGCACAGTTTTTTTAAGCAGATTGTTAAACATACCAGCTGCTTCAAGAATATACCTCTGACATTGGCATCAAAACATCAGCTGATGATAGCGTTTCATGTGAACTCTCCATCTTATGGTAAATCTCCTCTAGAGGTGTCTGATGTTTCCACAGTCCCAATAGATGTGGTAAAAGATGAAATGGCTCATGCTATTCAGCAGAGGTACCCTGACACAAATGAAGTGCATCTAGCCAAGAAGGCAACAAGCTGTGGCGTCACATACTGCAAGGGAATGATAGTTGTTCATGGCACCGAATCTGGATTACCAGAGTTCTCAGAAATCTTTCAAATGTGCGTCATTGATGATAGGCTATTCCTCATTGTGAACGTGTTGTGTGCATGGTACACTGAGCACTACAGAGCCTTTGCACTGGAGCAGTCATCAAAAACAATGAAACTTGTTGCACTAGAGGAACTAATGGATACCTATCCATTGAGTGATTACTGGGTTGGAAGAAGCCGCATGGTAACCTTAAAACGGCACATTGTCATTAGAGGTAAGATTTGAACACGTGGTTGCACTGAGAAGGTGACAATGGAGTAGGGCTGAACGATTCTTTCTGGCTCTTTCTATATTGTGATTTAAATTTGATACACAATTTTCTTCAGTTAAATAATCACAATGTGCAGTAGCATTTACATACTTGGCCAAAAATTACATAAAAAAATCTAAACATTACAGGAATAGTTCAGCAATTTTCCATACCATTTTCCATTCCACAGTCAACATTTTTGGGGTATTATGTAAAACAGATCCTGGGTCAGTCAGGAGCACAAAAATTGCTGCTTTGGGGATGATCACCATGTCTGAAATTGCGATTTCGATCATAAAACAATGAATCTTTCAGCCCTACAATGGAGGATCCAATATGGCACACTAAATTGCTTCTTCCTGTTTTTCCTATCTGATTTGCACGCTGTCAATAATGGAGAATGTAATCACTAAATCTTACCTGTTCTGTATTTCCTCCACAGATTAAGAGATCATCAATGGCTGCCTTCCTAGTGTTAAGAGTTATCTTGGATGCTGAAAACTCTCAAAGACTGCTGTTTGAAGGTGGTTTTCCAAGATCTGTTGATGAAGTGGTTCAGGAGGTAAAGAGACAGTGCAACCTCAACTATACCTTCAGACTCCAGTTTATGGATGAGCATTTTGGAAACGTGTTTACAAACCTAACAAGAGTGGAGGAACTCAAGGATAAGGGGACAATTAAAGTAATCCAGATTGAGAGTTCCCAGTGTGATGAGGCTTCTGTCAGTCATTCCGTAGTTCAGGCTCCGCTTTCACCTTGTTCAGTGTCAGTGTCCTGTGGGTCTGTTGACACAGATATTCTGTCCTCTTCGGATTCTTCAAGCTCAAGAACATCATGGCCAGTCAATTTTCCTGTGCCCCAGTTTTCTTATGATTCAGAGCTGAAACTTGACAGAGGCAATGTGACATACAAAAAGGATGGCACTCTCCTCATTCCTGATCCAAAACTTAAATCAAACATTCTTGAGACCCTGGTGCAAGAAATGATCAAATACAAACTTTACTGTAGTGGCAAGGAATTAAATGCTGTGGCGAAGGCCCTTGTATCGAAGCATCCTTGCTTGAGTGAGAAAGGTTCTCTCACTGGGCATGCAGGATGGAAGACCAGTTTGGGAAATAAGCTTTCTATGTATCGCACGCAGCTGAGAAAACTGGGATGTACTGAAGTGAGTATCAATTCCATGAAGAACAAGCCAGAGGGAAAAGAAAGTCCTGCAGCTTCCATAAAGAAACCTCGGCGGTCAGAGGTTAATTATTGCCCCCCGCATCCCATTGGAGAATCCGACACAAGCCTGGAAAGAGTGAGAGTTGAACTTGTTGATGATGTGACGAGGACAAACAGGGAGGTGATCAAAAGAAAAATGGAGAAAACCTTTTCTTATAGGAGAAGAGAAGTCATTTCCGAGGAGCCAATGGTTCAGGACTTCAAGACCAGATGGCCAGCATTCTTTCACATGAGTGAGGTTTGTGATACTTTGGCATGTTTTTTATTTTTTTCAAATTATAAATGATACATGTACCTAATATGGTTTTGTTCCCTTGACTTTGCATTGACATTTTTTGCAGTTTTGAGTATTGATGCTTTACCGTGTGCTTACAGATAAATGCCGAATTTAAGAGGATAACTACCATGCTGCTCCAGTCCAGATTTCTCTCCCAGCTGGATATTCATACAGTCAAAATGATCAAGTTATTCGGGAAACGAGGAGGAGTGATTGGAGCCAAACTGAAGAACATCCTGGAAGAGATCGAGAGGGCAAGTGTTGATTGTACTTTATTATGCCCTACTAGGGAAATGTGTGTCTGTTTTGAGGAGCATTCATTATGTCATTAATACAAACGCCTTAAATTAGACATAAAATAAATTCACTAATTCCAAACCTCTCATAATTTATTTGCAGTTTAAAGTTCCACATACCAATCTTGTATGTTAAAGGAATAGTTCACCGTTTTTACATACTGACATATGTTCTTACCTTACCTTAGACTAGTTAATATGTACCTGTCTGGTCTTAGTCCGTGCGCTCTGTCATGCAAACGGAGCAAAAACGGGAGCACAACCGCAGCCTCCTCTGGTCACTGTATAGTACCCAAAAGGTAGCTCCCGCTAGAAGCTACCAAACTCTTCCAAGTGTTCCCTATTAAATGTATATAGTTACGTGACGTGTTACACTGCAAAGTATAGTAACACAGAAATGTAACTGTCGATTTTCTCAGCGGATAAAACGGGTACTATATTGTGAGGCGTAGTAATCTGAGGAGCGCTACGTCCGCGCACTAACTTCTCTCCGGAGATTTCTCTCTCGCTCACTTCCGTCAATAGAAGCAGCGTGACTTGTAGTACGGAGAGAAGTTAGTGCGCGGACGTAGCGCTCCTCAGATTACTACGCCTCACAATATAGTACCCGTTTTATCCGCTGAGAAAATCGACAGTTACATTTCTGTGTTACTATACTTTGCAGTGTAACACGTCACATAACTATATACATTTAATAGGGAACACTTGGAAGAGTTTGATAGCTTCTAGCGGGAGCTACCTTTTGGGTACTATACAGTATACAGAGGAGGCTGCGTTTGTGCTCCCGTTTTTGCTCCGTTTGCATGACAGAGCGCACGGACTAAGACCAGACAGGTACATATTAACTAGTCTAAGGTAAGGTAAGAACATATGTCAGTATGTAAAAACGGTGAACTATTCCTTTAAGTGAGCCAGTGTACGGTTTTTTTCAGTCTGACATTACCAAAAAAAGCAATAATGCCCGAAAATCAATCTTGCTACCAACTATTCAGACACGTGAGCAGACTTTGAAAACCAAAGTCAGAATTGTATTTATTTATGATTTGTGTTGCAGTTAGTAGTTCACTCTAGTTGTAGGGATCAATGAGATCAAATGTTTTTCTACAAAAATTAATATGCGTTAAAAAAAATACATTTTCTGCTCTGGGAAATTTCGACCTTGTAACACCTCACAATGAGGATTACACTGATCTTTGTCCAAAATCATAACTACCTCAATAAGTTCTTCAACTTTCAGCAATACCCAAGCAAAATTTGTATTTTAAAATGAAATATACAAGATCTTGAATAGGTTTGATCCTTGGCGAGTCAAATAAATTGGAAAATTTGCGTAAGTCCCAAATCAGTTACAGTAATAAAGTAACTCTCTTTCCAGACAGAGGACATTGACATTCTCAGAAAACTCATCCTAAAGGGACTGTGCATATATCTCCAGGAGGACCCAGCACACCTGTTCAGAGAATATGAGGTGAGTCCAACTGATGTATTGTTGAGTTGACAGTTTAATTCCAGCTGTCGCAGTAAGAACAACCACAGGATGCACTTCGAGAACATCAACACTTATTGTCTCCTGTCCTTCTCCTCGTGTTGCTGTATTTTCTAAAGAGGGCTGTGATGGCTCTCTGGCTTTTTTGTGGACATTGTAATGAGTGTGATGATCTAACATCATTCCTTCCCCCTCTCCTCATGTTAACTGTCTGGTTCCTCCTCCACAGCAGAGCAGTTTCTGTCCTACCACTGTTATGCACTTGAGAGCTGTTTGGCTCCCTGAAAATGTCCTTAAGTCATCTTGATGTTCTTGCAAGGTTTTCTCCACAGTGGGCCCCAGTCTCCTCACTATCATTAACTCTTCTCTGCATTCAGGAGTGTTTCTGTCCTATTTTAAGCAGGCAGCTGCCCAGCCGTTCCTAAAGAAACCGAACCTAGACCACACATTAATGCTAAACTACAGGCCCATCTCCAAGACCTTATTTGAATCCAAGATCCTGGAGAAATTAGTCGCCTATTTTTTAATATTATATATTATATATTATTATTATAATATTATTCTTTAACTACAAACTGAACATACTCAGACTCTAGGGCTGTGGGTAAGAAAAAGTGCGAGACAACTCCTGCATCGTGCATGGTGATGCCTTCAATGGCCATTCATCAACGTGGGAAAAAAAGCACATCAGCCTGAGCAACCTGAACACCTTAGCACTGTAAGACATGAAAATGAACTTCATTAAAGAACTCTGATAAAATTTAAAATAACAATTTGGTGACACTAAATCAATTAAAATAGGTCTTATCTTAGAGTAGTTTGTATTTAGACATGAATTTGTACTATTTTCTGATATGTATTAAAGTTCCTTTGAGATGAAGAAATTTAGTTTGTAGTTTTTTTATGGATTTCTTTTGCATCACAACTGTTACTTTACCTAATTTAGGTAAAAGTAAATTATTTTACCTTAATTTTTCAAACCAAAAGTCACATTCCTGGGCTAGTAGTTGAAGTAGTGGGGCCAGTTCATTTGATTCGCTGGCAAAAAGACCTCAATCAATCCCTGACATTCACACTATCTTTTAATTCTGCTTGATTTTTCACAAAAAATGCATCAGGTTGATGCTTTTAAATGCCAAATATTGAAAATGTTCAATATTTTCCTAGAGGGGTTGTAAACTTCTCACCTTTTTCACCCCTGACCCGTTTTAATGCCTGAGTTTTGTTAAGGGTCTGGGGGACTATTTATTCTCACAGGTTCTACATTTAACTTTTTATTGAATTTTTATTATAAGATGTTAATTTATACTTTTAAAGTGTTTTGAAGCACTCTGTGCTCTTGTGCGGTGAATAGCACTATACTGTATACATGATTAAGTGTTTAAAGAAAGCTATGAAAGCTTTCTGCCTCCCCTTCAGGTGGTGATTGGTAATATTTTGTTTCTATAAAACTGTGTTCCGTAGAAAGAAGACCGTGCTGCAATCCAGGAGGCCATCGAGGACACCACGGTGGCAATTTTCCACATCAGGGAAAGTGGCGGTGATGGGGAAGAGGACATCCTCGTTGTCCTTGAAGGCCAGGCCGTGGTGGTTGACCTACCAAGTGTGGGGGTGGCGGTTGCCATGCTGTTTGGCCTCATTTACAACTTAAACCTGGACTACCCTCCTCATCTCAGATACACCTTTGAGGTAATACAGAAAGTTGTAATGGAGTTGGAAGGCAAAGTGCTGTCAAAAAGGGCTCAGGCCTTGAAGATCCGACTCTTTGAGTAAAGATGGAACCTTAACCTCCACCCGGACCGGATTGGCTTTACCCAAATCTAAAAGTTTATGGAAAATGAGTCATCAAAATTTGTTAAAAAAAAACGCAGCAAATAAGTGCCAAAAAGAGACCACAAAATGCCACAAACAGCAACAGAAAAGTGACAAAAGAACAAAAAAAAGTTACAAAAAAGCGATTAAAGTGCAACACAAAAGTGGAAAAAACAAGTAAATTTTCAAAAACTCAACCAATAATGTGAGATTAACTAAAGAAAAGAATGGCAAAAATGTAACAATTAAAAGTGAGAAAAACTGAACACAAGAGACAAAAACGCAAATTAGGTGTAAAATAATGTGGAAAAAGTGATGGTAACAACACAAGGAAAAAGATGAGTTCAGATCAATTTTGTAGGTCTTAGCTTTTGAATGAGGCACTTGCACTGGCTTTAGGTTGCAACTTTTAGATTTGGGTAAAGCTCAACTGGAGAAAATGCACTCCTTTAAGGCGGGAAGTAAGGGGTTAAAAATGTTTTCCTGTTCGACTTCATGATATTCATATTCATAGTTCACCAATTTTCCATACTGATTATTGTTCTTACCTTAGCTTTCATGGCTTCATCGTGTTATTGCTGATGTTTTTATTTTATTGTTCCGCAGTCTGTTTTTGTCATCATTGTTCAGATAATTGTTGTGTAAAAGTATATTCTTGTTTAATTAATAAAAGGGTTGAGCCTTAAATTTGTGTTCAGTGTCCTGTGTTTGAATTGTAATAATGCATGTGATTCTTGCAAATAAATATTGGCAGAATATGCTTTTTTAGACATTAAAATTATCAGCAATTGTATTTTTATTATGCACTTTCAATCTAGTAAAATTATCTATATTTCAATGAAATAATTGTGCTGCTAAAACATAATTTTATTGATGGTTCAATGTGAACAAATTGTGGAAAATTGCATGATAAAGTCACGTTTGTCTAATGTAAAATTCTTAGGTATAGTGAACAGGAGATATTCATTACAATGTAACGTGATTTTTTTATGTGCAATATTCATGTTGACATAACATGATTTTATTATATGCAACCGATGTCCATACTTTTTTTATGTTAATCCAACAGATTTTTTCTTTCAGTGTAGGTAATTGTGTTGTGTTGTGCTATATTGGCTCATGCGGTTTTGCATGTACATAAACATACATTGTAGGTATAAAGAATATTTTTTGAAATAAATATATGATTTGCATTTTTGTAGTAGGTAGATCATTTTGACTTGATCCTTTTATAAGTAGCTCGCATGCTGAAAAAGTGTGAGCACCCCTGTGTTAGATAGTCCACAGTCTCCTGTATATCAGGCTCTGAGCCCAAACTGCTCTTCCTTCGAAGCTTGAAGCTCCATAGTCCCTCGTCCATTGTCCCTGCTGCAGCCGCTTCATGCTTCCTTCCAATACACACACACGGACCAATCACAGCGGAGCTTCCTTGCGGCGACCCTTACGTAGTTAGAAAATTTCGATGCTGCGCGGCAGGCGACGTAAGGGCCTTGCGGTGACCAACGCGTTGCGCAAGTGACGTCACGTCACCTCCGTAAGCTCCGCGCGAGTATAAACTAGGCTTATGGAGTCTTTAAAATCTGCATTAAATGCAGCAGCTCCTTTAAAACAGAAAACTATTAGGATTAGATCATCGTCGCCCTGGTACAGTGTTCAACTCCACACTTTAAAACAGGACGTCAGAAAATTGGAGAGGCTTTATCGCCACTCCCACTCGGAGCCTGTCCACAGGGAGTGGAAAGCAGGTCTCCGAAACTACAAGAAGGCCCTTCGCGGGGCTCGAACTCAATAATATTCAACTTTAATAGAAGCCAATAAAAATAACAGTAGATTTTTGTTTAGCACCGTCGCTAAACTCACAAACTGCCATAGCGCAATCGAGCCTAAAATTCCAAGCTCACTGAGCAGTGTCGACTTTCTTCATTTCTTTAATAATAAAATTACATCCTAAAATAATAATAAAATTACATTACAATCTGTCAGGGTTCCCCTGCTCTGGACGCAGCAGAGAAGCCGCAGCACCACGGCCCGTTTCGTCCTGCAGATTCTTCGCGTTTGAAGATAAGAAGTGGCCTCGGGGACGTCTCTCTGCTCTCCTGGTCAGACGAAGCCCCCGCGATCACTCCTGTACATCACAGATTCGTGGGCTCTATGACTTCTTCTGGCCAGCTGCCAAAACCTACACCTTTTGATAACAGTTTCTTGTTTTTCTCACTGTTCATACAGAAATGCTATCTATTAATTCTTACTATTCAGAAATAATAACCTTGACCTAACCGCACTTTAAAAGAGTTAATTTTGACAAACAAGTACTTTTTAGACCTAAACATTCTGGAGTTTTCTAAGTATTTATTAATTTAGCAACAGAAACAATACTAAACTGATTTAATTTAACTGGTGCAGGAGGCCTGTATTATTCCAACAATCCATTCGTGACAAACTGGAGGAGGTTACTCCTGCTGTTGGTAGTGGACAGGCTGAAGCGGCATACTTGACTTCCCACTTGGACTCCTCAGTGGGCCTCAATAAATTCATGGCTGTGAGCCAAGCAGAAGTGATCTCTGTGGTCACATCCTCAAAAGCCTCAACTTGCTTGTTAGATGCAATCCCAGCTTGGCTCTTTATAGACATACTTCCTTTGATAATTGAGCCTATCGTAAACGCATCCATACAATGTGGCTATGTCCCACAAGCTTTTAAAACCGTGGTTATCAAACCCCTTCTGAAGAAAACAAACCTGGATCCGGAAATACTTACAAACTACAGACCGATCTCGAACCTCACTTTCATATCCAAAATCCTGGAAAAACGTATAGCTGAGCAGCTTTGCTGCCACCTGCAGGAAAATAATATGTTTGAAGTCTTTCAATCAGGATTCAGAGCTCATCATAGCACTGAAAGGGCACTTGTCAAACTACTAGCTGCTGATAATGGACAAGTGTCAGTGCTGGTCCTACTGGACCTTAGTGCTGCATTTGACACAATAGACCACAGCTTTCTACTGCAGAGGCTAGAAGGTGATATAGGCCTCAAGGCGCGTTCAGACCAAAAGCTTCAAAAAGCTTTTGACGCGCATCAGCTGACGCCGGGTTATTTTTGTCATTTTGGTGCTTGAAGCTTTTGACGCGAGTGACGCGACTGACGCGCCTGACGCCGGTGGGAGGAGCTTCTCTGTTGCCGGTGTAGTCCAGAGAAGATGGCGGATTTCCGAAGAGCAGCTTGCCTTTATTTGTTGGTCAAATCCATACAACGTTGTCGTAGGGCTTCTACACAGCATCTATGGGTTCACAGTATACTTCAGAGGCGTGCAGTGTTTGGTGAGTTTCACCATTTACTCCAGGAGCTGCGTATGGACGATGTCAGTAGCCCAGTTTGATGACCTGCTCACCCGCATCGGAGCTCGCATCGCCCGCATGGACACCAACTACAGGCGCTCAATTCCCGCGGAAGAGCGCCTGTCTATCTGTCTGAGCAGGGTTACCAGGTCCAAGAAAAATTTCCAGCCCAATGACCTCTCAAAACTCGACCAAAAAGTATGAAAACTAGCCCAATAATTAATTTCAGTTCAATTTAAATTTATTTATCAAATAAACATTCTGTTTGCCAAACAACATTGGCTGGTTTATTCTCCTTTCATCAGCTGCTGTATTGACACACAAAGACATAGGTGTCAGTCAAAAGTTTGTTTAAAAGAGTGTGTGTTTCATTACCTAGTACCTACCTAGATTAGTTAATTATCTTACATTTTCACTCTTCCTCTTATCCAGTTCTGCTGCAGCTCTCGTTGTGATGTGCTCGCATTTCACTCTTACAGAACTTGCAGAAAGCCTTTCTGTCATCATTTGGGACACTGCGTATCCACTCTTTTATGCCCCTTTCTGACTATATCCTATATCGTTTTTGGTACTTCCCCCATTTACCTGACATCGCACTGTTAGCTTCTTTTTTCCGCGTGCCTAAAAATGACCAAAATGACGGTCTTGATAGCTGACTGACTGGCTTCTTTGCCGCTGCACGTGCGGCCTCTGTCTTGCGTAGGGGGGCGTGCCGCGGCACCACTCAAAGGCTTGCGTGTGAGTGAGAGAGAGAGCGAGAGAGAGCGAGAGAGACGGGGAGGGTGGGGGTGGGGAAGGGGGGTGAGGGACAGTGCTGAGCTTTGAATGTGACGAATCTGATTGGGAAAAATAGATAAAATGACAGATAAAGTTGCGGCCGCGGACAGTTTAAAATCAGCCCAAGAAAACCGCAACCCGCAGCACAAGATTTTTTCCCGCAACGGCCAATTTAAAGTAGCCCAATTGTGCGGGAAAACCGCGGACCTGGCAACTCTGTGTCTGAGGTTAGTGAGAATTTTCTGATATATCTACAAATACAATAGGAAATAGCGTCCCTAGCATGGATCACGGAGCGAGAGATAGGAGCGGCCAAAAGCAGTAAAAGTTGAATATACGTTTTAATTAGGACATAAAAGTTAATTGTAATAACATTTCAGGCGGGAAATATACCCCACTAATGTCATATCAGAGGTCTGTTTGGTGATTAAATAGATATTTCGATTTTTGTCTGACTTTTTCCCTCCAGCGCGGAGCTCCAATGCTAACCGGCTAACCCAAGGAGGCTTTTGTTACAGACTTTCTCTGTTATAACGATTGTATTTAGAGTAATCATTAATACGATTGATATATTTGCTATGGCCCTCGTTTGTGCATCTGATCAATTAAATGTTCACTGTTTACAATGGCAGGGCCTGCCATCTCGTTTACAAGCATGTTTTAAAGCTTATTAAGTAAAAACAGCATTGTCTGCTACTTTGTACTTAATATATTCAGATTCCCAAGTGATTAACCCCCCTGTGATTTCACAAGAGAGGGTACATTTCCATTACTGGTGCAATTCCTGAAAACAAATTTACACAAACATATTGTATGATTCATTAACAATATTTTTGTATATTGCTGAGTCGTATTTGTATCATTGTAGGTTTCTTGCTACTGGGGACTCCTTCAGGACCATTGCAAGCAGCTTCAGGGTGGGCATCTCCACCATCTCCAGCATCATCCCAGATGTGGTGGCAGCCATCTGGGACGGCCTGGTGGAGGAGTTCATGCCTGTGCCTGGAGAAGAGGAGTGGAGGTTGTCTGCTATGGAGTTTGAGGAGCGGTGGAACTTCCCTTTTTGCTGTGGTGCTATAGATGGGAAGCACATCAACCTAAAGGCACCCCGCAACTCAGGCTCCCTCTACTTCAACTACAAGGGTAGGCACTCCTTGGTCCTCCTCGCTATTGTAGATGCCAACTACAAGTTCAGGGTGATTGACGTAGGGGGCTATGGCAGAACCAGCGATGGAGGGATCCTGGCCAACTCCACCTTCGGTCAGGCTCTGCATGCGGGAACACTTCCTCTGCCAGCTGACCGGCATCTCCCTGGAGCAGAGCACCGAGGCCCCCTGCCCCATGTCTTGGTGGAAGATGCGTTTGGCATTTGGTCATCGCAGTGGAGGATGTTTCGTCGGGACCTCGAGATCCGGCCAGAAGTTGTGGAGAAGTGCGTGAAGGCCACATGTGTTCTCCACAATTTCCTGAGGGTGTCTGCTCCGGTCCCAGTCCTGAGAGGAGCTGCAGCGCAGGGAGATGACTGTCTTCCAGGTGTCGGGAGGATGGGTGCCAACAACGCCACCAGAGAGGCACTGCAGGCGAGGGAGGCGTTCATGGCCCACTTCTGTGAGGAGGGGGCAGTAGCATGGCAGCCGACAGAGTAGTCAGATCCTCACGGGACTGACCCAAAACGGTTCTTTTAAGAGCCACCCATGAAAACTAAAGAGCATTTCTTCTTTAATAATATTTGAGTGTCTGTATTTGTCAATGCATTACTTTTGAATATCAGGACACAAATACTACAATATTCTGATCATGAATTCTAGTCTTGGATAAAGACCATGTCTATGTTTATCCAGTATGTTTTTTAACCATTCACCTGTGCCCTTCTTGTTTGCAGGTAATAGATCCAGATTTTGCAGCTGTCTCCGACTTCACAACATGTTCAAGCATGGCATCAATTACAAGTTTGTCCAAACAGGATATGCTGAAATTAATTATGTCAACTAATTTCTATTGTCTCATATTTGGTGATAACATGTGTTTACGAGTAAAGTTCTCCTTAATTGAGGTATTTGAAATTAGTGATATTTAACTTATTTGAACACATAATGAACACCTTAATGAAAAACCTGTACATATTTAAAGTAGCAGACCAAATCTTAAGTTATAATTTTTTTTTATGAAATATGTAAAAACAAATATATACACAAAAAGAACAGGAACAGGAATAAAAATGACCTTGCTTGGAGGAGGAGGAGGAGTGCAGGAAGGAGAAGTCTGTTTCCTCCCCTGCAAAAGAAGCCACCTCATAGCTAAACACTACTACTAAGTGTGCTCCAATTGTTCCAAATTAAGCGTAAATGCGCTGCTCTCATAAAGTAATTTATGAATTTGGAATTTGACAAATTCTAAAGATTGAGGTGGCACCTTATCCAGGAGAGGAAGCAGAGATTGGAGGAAGAGCTCATTTTGTGATGGAGCTGGAGCTGCAGTCTGCCACAGGAGGGCCATCAGCTCCAGCTCCAAGCGCGATAGCTCTTGGGCGGAGGTGTCCTGGGTGGTGCGCTTCTTGGCTCTCTTCCTTTGTGGACCTGCAAACACCACAAGACAATGGCTTTAAAAAATATAAAGTCATGAGTATGTAGGATCTGATAATCTATGAACAACTTTTAAATCCTTTTCTTATGTTAAATAAAATAACTAGATCCTATGTAAAAACAGTATTTAATTTGGATATTTCACTTTTTGATGCCCACATATTCAAAAGTATTTGTGAAATGTTTAATATAACGTTTATACTTTCACAACAATAAAATTGATTTCCTACACACCTGTAGGTGCAGCAGCAGGGGAACGACCGGCAGCAGAGGAAGAACCAGCAGCAGAGGACGGTCCAGCAGCAGAGGACGGTCCAGCAGCAGAGGACGGTCCAGCAGCAGAGGACGGTCCAGCAGCAGAGGACGGTCCAGAGGCCGAGGACGGTCCAGGAGCCGAGAACGGTCCAGAGGCCGAGGACGGTCCAGCACTCGGCTGTCTCTGAACTTGACTCCGTATCAGCGTCATCTGTTATTAAATAAATTACTTTCACTTCACAGCACGTGTACAATCATTTTAAGAACGTTAATACTCATGTAAATAACCTTGCTAATAACAATGACAACAAAACAGTATAGTGGGCAGCTGCATGACTTCTTTCCATACATTGTTTTAGCTACACACCTACATCTGACATTAATTTACAGCATATGTACATTTATTTTGCCAGTTGCTTATTGAGAACGTTAATACTCATAAATAACCTTGCTATAAACAATAATGACAACAAAACAGTTTAGTGGGCAGCTGCATGACTTCTTTCCATACATTGTTTTAGCTACAGACCTCCTGCAACTGACACCTCCGCTGCTGCTGGTTCTTCCTCTTGGAGGTGGCTGTACCCGCTCTCCTCCTCGGCCCTGTGTGCTGTCATGTTACCAGTAGATGGCCTCGGTGTTACGTAGGGCTCGAGGAAGGAGAGCGATGCCAAGTACCTCCACCTCTGCACTGTCCCTGCTGCTGCACCACTCCGCCTCCTCTCCTTCTCCTTCCTGCACTCCCTCATGAACCTGTCCCTCAGGCTTTTCCACCTCTTTTTGATTTCTTTCTCTATATGAACAAATGGACTTGTGAGCGGGAACAGAAATCATAGCGACTGTATGATTGTACTGAACGGAGTTTACTAAACATGGAATACAGATATGAATTCTTTACATAACTTACCATCGTACCCGATCTCCTCGCTTATCCTCCTCCAAGCAAGGTCCTTTCTATTCCTGTCCCTGTATAGCAGGCTGGAAACTCTGGGCGAGAGCTAATCGCCACGATCAAGCTCTCCTCCATGTTCTCGAATAGGATATTTTTCCGCTTCCACCGGCTTCATCGACCCTGTCTGCTGATTGATTGAAGCCCGCGTCAAAGCTTCAAAAGCTCAGCTTTGCTCAGCTTCGGCGTCAAAAGGATTGTTGTGATACGCGAGCAATTCGCGCGTCAAAAGCTTCAAGTGAGCGCGTATTACGCGCGACTTTTGAAGCTTTTGACGCGCGCCAAGTGGCGCCGGGCCCCTCGGCTTCACCTGACGCGCTTCACCATTCACTTTCAATGCAAACCTGACGCTTTTGACGCCGAAGTTAAGTCCGGTGTGAACGCCCCTTTAGAGGAACAGCCCTTGGCTGGTTTAAATATTATTTATCAGATCGGTATCACTTCGTCAACGTAAATCAGAACTCGTCGCCTTATTCTGGAGTGGAATTTGGTGTGCCGCAGGTTTCGGTACTCGGACCGATTCTTTTCACTCATGCTGCCGTTAGGAAACATCATTAAAAAGCATGGAATTAATTTCCACAGCTATGCAGATGACACACAGCTTTATCTGTCGATGAAGCCAAATCAGACAGATCAGCTGGAAAAGCTTAGTGCCTGCATAAAGGACCTTAAAACGTGGATGACTCTTAACTTCCTACTTCTTAACCCGGAGAAGACAGAAGTGATCCTACTCGGTCCGAAGCGCCTGCGTGACTTCCTTACTGACCAGATAATCACTCTCGATAATGTCAGTATTATACCCAGCACACTGTGAGGAATCTTGGAGTCATTTTCAACAAAGAACTCTCCTTCAAGGCTTATATAAGCCAAGCAACTAAAACGGCGTACTTCCACTTATGGAACAATGCTAAAATCAGGAATTTCCTTCCTATAAGTGGAAAAACGTATTCAAGCTTTTGTCACCACAAGACTTGACTACTGTAACGCTTTATTGGCAGCATGCCCTAAAATAAAGCACATCAGAATACAGCAGCAAGGATCTTAACAGGTACCAAAAGGAGGGAGAACATAACTCCGGTGTTAAAATCACTCCACTGGCTTCCTGTGGAGTACAGAATAAAGTTTAAAATCCTCCTCTTAACATATAAAGCCATAAATGGCTTGGCTCCTTCCTATCTCCAAGACACGTTAGTGTCATATCAACCAAGTCGAGCGTTGCGCTCACAAAAAGCCAGATGTCTGGTGGTTCCTAAGGTTTCAAAAATCACTGTCGGCGGCAGAGCATTTAGCTACCAAGCTCCTTTACTGTGGAATCAGCTTCCCATTGGTAACTAGCACTTGCTCCAAGTTGAGATTGCTCTGAACCCATCCAGGATCAGTCTAGCACCAGCAGCTTGGATAAAAGTTGCTTTAACTGCCATAAAATGTTTGCTGCAGAGAGACTGAAAATTTAACTTTGAATGAATGGAGCAGTCAAAAAGCTGCATAACCTCACATAATATTTGTATTCATTACGAAAATTAAATCTATATCCATGCAGTGCATTGGGATATGCGTCCTTTTGAAGAATAAGTGGCGCAGATTTGTGCTGGAGTGTCATTTTATTTTAGATCAAATTTTTGTGCAACAAGGAAGATAATTTGTTTTGGGACCAGATTGACCAATCACAGCGGACCACTGACCCTTGCTTTCTTGAGAAAATCTACAGGTCTCGCACAGACAGCTGACGTAAACGAGCGGCAGGGGCTAACCTGAAACTTCCCATGTCTTTGTTACCGGTCACGCCATCCACGTTCCAATGTGCGATCCATATTGTGAGACAAGAGCTCCGTGAACAATTAGCACATGAGCACGAGCTGAAGGGGGGGGGGGGGGGGGGGAAGGGGCGAGGCCAGCGCTCACAGTTATTGCAGCTTTAAGGGTAGAAGTACTCACAATTCAAAATAATGACACTGAAATGAACTACATACACTGCAAAAAGTCGTGTTTTAAAAATAAGAAAAAATGTAAAAAAAATGAGCAATATTTTACTTAAAATAAGCAAAATTATCTGCCAATAGAACAGGAAGATTGGACTTGCCAAGATTTTGAAAAACAAGTGAATTTATCTAGCCATAAAAAGCCCAGGGACTTCTCAAAACTAGTGAGTTTAGACTAAAAGCAAGTAGATTTGGCTTATTTTAAGGAAAATATTTAAGCATAATTTGCTCAAATTGTAGGACTATGTGCTTAAAATCAGTGCCATCATATGCTAGTGCCATCATCTTCATATTAGATTCAATGTAAGTAAATAAATCTTAAAGTTATATTCAGCACATGCAAATATCATCAGGGATTATTGTTAGGCAACATACACTGAATACAAATGTATTTGCCTAGATACTGAGAGCAATTTAAGAATTATTTATTCTAGTATGTAGAAAACAAACAATTTACTATCCATTGCCACTGCAAACTTCCTGATACACGTTTATTTGATACTCGTGTATTTTATAATACACGAGTATTTTGAAAAGACGATTCATGCATTTATTTAATAATGTCTTTATTGCTTTTCGACACCATTTCCTCAAAAGTAAAGAGTCCTGAACTGGCTAATCTGACGTGTAAAAACACGTCAGATTGCTTCAATAACACACTCAAACTCAGTGCTTGAACAAAAAGTATGTAACATGGAAAGCAATAGAAAAAAACTGGGGCAAGACTACCCACTTATTTCTACTCCAAGAATTTCCTCCACTCGCCTATAGCCTTTCTATATGAGGAAGTCATGTCCTGTTCATGGATAGTATCCAGGAGAACTTCGGTCTGCAGCACTGACAGGAGTGTGGCAACGCACTTAGGATATGTCAGGTGAAAGATGTAATAGCATGCCATTAAATACTTAACGCTGGCACCAACATCCTCTTTTGGGAAAATCAAGACAGGCAGGGATCCAATAGCCAGTATGCAGTTGGTTTCACAGACAACTACGACTGGGCTGGAGAGTGGTCTTGCCTGTAGAAAGGTGTTGGGGTCTTCGGTAGGCTGACACACACAAAAATATATGTATTTTTTAATGAATGGTTAAATGATATGATCATCTATATGGCTGTACATTTTCTTACCTCAAGGATATGAAGCAAAGCTTCACTTGCATGTCCCAATTTCTTTGGTGGAGCAACAGGTGAGGGGAATAAATTTGGCAACGCCTTCACCAGGGCAATTGACTGTTTTACTGTTAAAACATAAATATTATCGTATTTATGATATATTGTATAATTCTCAATTGTTATGTTCTGTATTAACCTTTGTCCAACTGTGGAGGCCCCATGACTTTCTTGTAAACTCCATAAAAGTGTGCTCTCTCAAAAAAGGTCGCCAGCCGGGTATTTAGTTCCGGGAGGAAATGGGAGTTTCCTTGATCGAGGAGCCGCCTGAGTTCACCCATTAGATAACACACAGGCAGATATAAATATGATATGTTTTAATTTTATTTTGGGCTTATAAAACAGAGGGCTGCATAAAATGAATACATTAGCTTACATGGTTCAAATCTCCAAAGCAGGGATATGCCTCAAGGATCTTGACAGGCCTGTCCTGCTCCTTAGTCACATCGGAGTCAATGAAGGCCAGTCTTGCCTGGAATTCAAGGTCTAGGAGCTGGGCAACATCCTTCTTATTTGGCTTGGCCTTGGTTTTATACATGTCCTGCAGAGTTTTAAAATGTCTTGCCTGATTTTGTAGGCTGTCGAAAGTTTCTGTTGCTAGAAAAACAAACATCAAGTAACATTTAAACATCCGTCCGTCCGTCCGTTTTCCTCCGCTTCATCTGTTGCCGGGTCGCGGGGGCAGCAGTCTAAGCAGAGACGCCCAGACTTCCCTATCCACACACACTTCCTCCAGCTCGTCCGGGGGGACCCCAAGGCGTTCCCAGGCCAGCTGAGAGACATAGTCCCTCCAGCGTGTCCTAGGTCTTCCCCGGGGCCTCCTCCCAGTGGGACGTGCCCGGAACACCTCCCCAGGGAGGCGTCCAGGAGGCATCCTGAACAGATGCCCGAGCCACCTCAACTGGTTCCTCTCGACGTGGAGTAGCAGCGGCTCTACTCCGAGCTCCTCCCGTGTGACCGAGCTCCTCACCCTATCTCTAAGGGAGCGCCCAGCCACTCTGCGGAGGAAGCTCATTTCGACCGCTTGTATCCGCAATCTCGTTCTTTCGGTCACTACCCAAAGCTCATGACCATAGGTGAGGGAGGGAACGAAGATTGACCGGTAAATCGAGAGCTTTGCCTTTCGGCTCAGCTCCCTCTTTACCACAACGGTCCGATACAGAGACCGCATCACTGCGCACGCTGCACCGATCCGCCTGTCAATCTCACGCTCCATCCTTCCCTCACTCGTGAACAAGACCCCGAGATACTTGAACTCCTCCACTTGAGGAAGGACCTCTCCACCCACCTGTAGAGGGCAAGGCACCTTTTTCCGGTCGAGCACCATGGCCTCGGATTTGGAGGTGCTGATTCTCATCCCAGCCGCTTCACACTCGGCTGCAAACCGCCCCAGTGCATGTTGTAGGTCCTGGTTTGTTGGAGCCAACAGGACAACATCGGCCGCAAACAGCAGAGATGAAATCCTGTGGTCCCCGAACCGGACCCCCTCCGGCCCCTGGCTGCGCCTAGAAATTCTGTCCATGAATACAGTGAACAGAACCGGTGACGAAGGGCAGCCCTGGCGGAGGCCAACATGCACCGGGAACAGGTCTGACTTACTGCCGGCAATGCGAACACAGCTCTGGCTCCGGTCATATAGGGACCGAACGGCCCTCAGCAGAGGACCCCGGATCCCGTACTCCCGGAGAACCCCCCAAAGAACACCCCGGGGAACACGGTCGAACGCCTTCTCCAAATCCACAAAGCACACGTGGACAGGTTGGGTGAACTCCCATGAACCCTCGAGTATCCGATGGAGAGTATAGAGCTGGTCCAGTGTTCCGCGGCCGGGACGAAAACCACACTGCTCCTCCTGGATCCGAGATTCGACCATCGGCCGTAGCCTCCTCTCCAGTACCTTGGAGTAAACCTTGCCAGGGAGGCTGAGGAGTGTGATCCCACGATAATTGGAACACACCCTCCGGTCCCCCTTCTTGTAGAGAGGGACCACCACCCCGGTCTGCCACTCCATTGGCACCGCCCCTGATCGCCACGCGATGTTGCAGAGACGTGTCAGCCAAGACAGTCCCACAACATCCAGAGACTTTAGATAGTCAGGGCGGATCTCATCCACTCCCGGCGCCTTGCCACCATGGAGGCTGCCAACCACCTTGGTGACCTCTGCCAGGGAGATGGAAGTATCCGCCCCAACATCCTCAGCCTCTGCCTCCGGGGCGGAGGACGTGACGGGGAGGTTGAGGAGAACCTCGAAGTATTCCTTCCACCGCCCGACAATATCCCCAGTCGAGGTCAGCAGCTCTCCACCCCCACCATAAACGGTGTTGGCAAAGCACTGCTTCCCCCTCCTGAGGCGCCGGACGGTTTGCCAGAATCTCTTCGAGGCCGACCGATAGTCATGCTCCATGGACTCTCCGAACTCCTCCCAGACCCGGGTTTTTGCCTCTGCAACCGCCCGGGCCGCAGCACGCTTGGCCTGCCGGTACTGGACAGCTGCCTCAGGAGTCCCCCGAACCATCATGGCTCAATAGGACTCCTTCTTCAGCCTGACGGCATCCCTTACTGCCGGTGTCCACCACCGGGTTCGGGGGTTGCCGCCGGGACCAGCACCAGAGACCTTGCGACCACAGCTACGAGCCACCGCATCGGCGATAGAGGAAAAGAACATGGTCCACTCAGACTCAATATCCCCCTCCTCCGCCGGGACCTGGGAGAAGCTCTCCCGGAGGTGCGAGTTGAAAATCCGTCTGACAGGGGGCTCAGCGAGACGTTCCCAGCAGACCCTCACTATACGCTTGGGTCTGCCAGGTCTGACCGGCTTCTTCCCCTGCCAGCGGATCCAACTCACGACCAGGTGATGATCGGTTGACAGCTCCGCCCCTCTCTTTACCCGAGTGTCCGAGACACGCGGTCGAAGGTCAGATGATACGACAACAAAGTCGATCATCGATCTCCGCCCGAGGGTGTCCTGGTGCTACATGCACTGGTGGACACCCTTGTGCTCGAACATGGTGTTCGTGATGGACAAACCGTGACTGGCACAGAAGTCCAACAACTGAACACTGCTTGGGTTCAGATCAGCGGGGCCGTTCTTCCCGATCAGCCCTCTCCAAGTGTCACTGGCATTTCCCACATGGGCGTTGAAGTCCCCCAGGAGAATAACGGAGTCCCCGGTTGGTGCACCGTCCAGTACCCCTTCCAAGGACTCCAAGAAGGCCGGGTACTCTGCACTGCTGTTAGGCCCGTAGGCCGTCACAACAGTGAGAGACTTGTCCCCCACCCGGAGGCGGAGGGACGCGATCCTCTCATTCACCGGGGAGAACTCCAACACGTGGCGGCTGAGATGGGGGGCAATTAGTATGGCCACCCCAGCTCGCCGCCTCTCCCCGCGAGAAACACCAGAAAAGTGGAGCGTCCAACCCCTCTCAAGGAGTTGGGTTCCAGAGCCCAAGCTGTGTGTGGAGGTGAGGCCGACTATCTCTAGTCGGTATCGCTCGACCTCCCCCACGAGCTCGGGCTCCTTCCCCCCCAGTGAGGTGACATTCCACGTCCCAAGAGCCATTTAAACATAACAATACTAAAACTAGTACTAGAATTTAATATGCTGCTATCCAGAATATATACAGTGCCTTGCAAAAGTATTCGGCCCCCTTGAACCTTTCAACATTTTGCCACATTTCAGGCTTCAAACATAAAGATATAAAATTTTAATTTTTTGTCATGAATCAACAACAAGTGGGTCACAATCATGAAGTGGAACGAAATTTATTGGATAATTTAAAAATTTTTAACAAATAAAAAACTTAAAAGTGGGGTGTGCAATATTATTCGGCCCCTTTACTTTCAGTGCAGCAAACTCACTCCAGAAGTTCAGTGAGGATCTTTGAATGATCCAATGTTGTCCTAAATGACTGATGATGATAAATAGAAAGCACCCGTGTGTAATCAAGTCTCTGTATAAATGCACCTGCTCTTTGATAGTCTCAGGGTTCTGTTTAAAGCGCAGAGAGAACCATGAAGACAAAGGAACACACCAGGCAGGTCCGAGATACTGTTGTGGAGAAGTTTAAAGCCGGATTTGGATACAAAAAGATTTCCCAAGCTTTAAACATCTCAAGGAGCACTGTGCAAGCAATTATGTTGAAATGGAAGGAGTATCAGACCACTGCAAATCTACCAAGACCCGGCCGTCCCTCCAAACTTTTATCTCAAACAAGGAGAAGACTGATCAGAGATGCAGCCAAGAGGCCCATGATCACTCTGGATGAACGGCAGATAACTACAGCTGAGGTGGGAGAGTCTGTCCATAGGACAACAATCAGTCGTGCACTGCACAAATATGGCCTTTATGGAAGACTGCCATTTCTCAAAGATATCCATGAAAAGTCTCGTTTAAAGTTTGCCACAAGCCACCTGGGAGACACACCAAACATTTGGAAGAAGGTGCTCTGGTCAGATGAAACCAAAATCAAACTTTTTGGCCACAATGCAAAACAATTTGTTTGGCGTAAAAGCAACACAGCTCATCACCCTGAACACACCATCCCCACTGTCAAACATGGTGGTGGCAACATCATGGTTTGGGCCTGCTTTTCTTCAGCAGGGACAGGGAAGATGGCTAAAATTGATGGGAAGATGGATGGAGCCAAATACAGGACCATTCTGGAAGAAAACCTGTTGGAGTCTGCAAAAGACCTGAGACTGGGACGGAGATTTATCTTCCAACAGGACAATGATCCAAAACATAAAGCCAAATCTACAATGGAATGGTTCACAAATAGAAATATCCAGGTGTTAGAATGGCCAAGTCAAAGTCCAGACCTGAATCCAATTGAGAATCTGCGGAAAGAGCTGGACTGCTGTTCACAAACGCTCTCCATCCAACCTCACTGAGCTCGAGCTGTTTTGCAAGGAAGAATGGGAAAGAATTCCAGTCTCTCGATGTGCAAAACTGATAGAGACATACCCCAAGCGACTTGCAGCTGTAATTGCAGCAAAAGGTGGCGCTACAAAGTATTTGCGCAAAGGGGCCGAATAATATTGCACGCCCCACTTTTCAGTTTTTTATTTTTTAAATAAGTTTAAATTATCCAATCAATTTGGTTCCACTTCACGATTGTGTCCCACTTGTTGTTGAATCTTGACAAAAATTTTAATTTTTATATCTTTATGTTTGAAGCCTGAAATGTGGCGAAATGTTGAAAGGTTCAAGGGGGCCGAATACTTTTGCAAGGCACTGTAACTACAATATGTGTTTATAATATTTTGGGTGTTCATCTTGACATGTTCAGATGAAGTATGTTTTAAAAAAAATGGCTTTGAAGTTGCACTTTTTCACTTCCGCATAGAAACGCTAGGGGGCGCCAAAATGGCAGCAATGACGTAGGAGAGTGACCTCTCACAGCAGAGGACAGCAGTCTTGGCAGGAATCTGTAGGAGCAGCGATCGTTTCACTGTCATCTGAACAAGGTATAAACATATTTTCATCAGTTTTGTACATAATAGTGTGCAACTCTTTTAACCTTTTAGCCTTATATGAGA